ATTTTTTTTTTTTTTCCCCGGCCTGGAACAACCTTTTCAGTATGATTTCTTCTGAAATTCTCTTGAAACATGTTTTATTGCTACAACTTCTATCAAAGGAAGAAACAACAAACTATTCCGATCTCCTTGGGTCAGATTTTTCAGAAGTAGGCAGTTGCCTATAGCTGTGGAGATAGTTAATGCTGAACGGCATCAGTGTAGTAGCTTGCATGGCTGAGCCCTTGGATATCAAAGAGTTGGGAATGGACCTGTTCTGCATTTCAAAACCTTACTGAATGGATTTTGGTAGTCATATAGATGTCTTTCAAGTTTGTAGGATTAATGGCTCTCATACTTTTCTACCATTGTGTGGAAAAGTTTATTCATAGACTTGAAGAAGTTGTTTCCCTGTTTTTTTTTTTTAGTTCTTAACCAGACTTTCAACAAATTCATCTGACATAATATAAATGAAGAAAATATTTCCACGTCCGCTTGTTTAAACAAAATTGGGAGAATTTGAGGCAAAATCTTTTTCTAACAATAGAAACTAGAAGTATGGATATCTAGGATGTTGTAAAAGCTTTGCTGGGTAAAATATGCATCTGAAAATACTTGATTCATTACACAGGAAGATGTTTCCCTGGGTTCCATATGAATAAAAAGCAGCATTTTATGACTACTATTTAGGTTTCTTAAGAAAAATGTATTTCATTTAATATATACTGTAAGTTTTTTAATTTTCAAAAGATTCCACTAATTGAGAAGTTGTTTAATAGGAGTAATTTTTAAAGGTTCTCTAGTGTTGTATGCTAGAATTTGAAAGGTGGTTAAACTGCAATAAAGCACTCCGACTGCTTTATAGAAAAAAGAAGATAAATAAAATAGAGCACTGTATTATGCAGTTGTTTCTGTAATTAGGAATATGTTGTGTTCTGTTAGCATTTCATTTAATTTTCTTTTAATTGTAGCTAATGATGAAGAACTAAAGAAAAGAATAGCTGAAGAACTGGCATTAGAACGAGCCAGGAGAGACTCTGAAGCTCAAAAGAGAAGGTTGGTTTGTTAATAACAATATTTAAAACAAACATGTACTTAATGCTTTTATTACTGTTATTTATCTACTTACTATAAACAGTTGAATTTTGTGCCCCAAGACAGAATGGTAGGTAAGACCATTGGGTGATATAGCAAGTTTTACATGTTAAAACAACAAATTAACTGCAATTTCCTTGTAAGAGCTGATACAAAGTGTTGATCTAAATCCCTTTTGACCTCATAAACCTGACTCTCTTTTGCAGTCTTTTAAGTTCAATCTTTGTTGATTTTCTTCTGAGTCCAAATACTTGCTTTGCGGTGTAGAGCTAGAAATGGCTCGAGAGCAATGCAGAGGTGGGTTACTTATAACCCCTCTGTTTGTTCAAAAGGTAAATTTTAACAGCAGCAGAAATGGTAATTCTTGTTATTTCTGTGAATTCTAGGTATTTCTGTGAGCTGCAGTATGTTTAGAACTGCTTTAATAGTGCAGCATAGTGCTTTGAGGCTACAAAGTACTGTATTAAACCAGTTTACTAGTAGAAAACCCTTTTGATATCCTTTCTGTATATCGAAACATTACTTATGCACATGTTTATGGAGATTGTAGTTGCTGTGAAAGACTGGGTAGAGTCACACAGAATGCACCGGCAGGCTTTGGATGCAGCGCTTTTGAAATATACTGTGCAATGTTTAGTATGGTACTGTGGGATTATTAGCAATTAAAACAATTCCTCTTGGAATTTGAAATCGAGTTTGGCTGTATGGTGAATTTGGTGGACTTGTGTGTTAATTCGTACTTTCTTTCAGTGATTTTTCCTAAATAGATAATATGACACACTGAATATAAATATTAACCTACACATTGTCCTCCATTCTGAGAATGGGAAGAAAGGCTCATTATGATGAATTAAAAAAAAGTAGAATGTAATTAGTACTACTTAAACTGTCTGCATATATATCAGTTGTTTCCTGCGCATCATTATATTGTTATTTAATTGAGTTAGGTTGATGGAGTGTATAATTAGATAGGACTATATAAATGTCCCAGGAAGAAATCAGGCTTTTTTTTTTTTTTTTGATAATCAGCAATAAAGGAAATCAATATGTTACAGTGAAATCTCTCCTCTCTAGAACTGGGCTTTGACAGGAAAACTTGTGTTACATTTGAGCTTAATGTTGACTGCTCAAGAGTTCAGCTGAATGTGATTACAGTATGGAAATATTTGTTTTGTAACTTCGGTATTTTGCCGTTTGTCACTTTTCAGTAATTTTCATTAAGTATTCTGTAACTCAGTTTTCACGGGTTGTGCATTGATCTATGAAAGGTAGGGAGCAGGCTGGCTTGTCGTATACCTGATTTTGTATTTTGTAGGGAGTAATGCAGGCAGTCTTCCCTTTTTTGGCGAAGGATTAGTGAGGAAGATATTACATATTAAAAGGATCCTGTCAAATATTTTTGTCTTAAAATTAGGTTGAAGAATCTGTGCTTTTGAAATGTAAACTATGAAAATAAATTAAAATATAAAGAATAAAATGACAAACATCAAGTCTTGTTAACGGTTTCAATCCTTTTCTAGTTCTGATTTTTTTAGCAATAAGCAAGGATTTCTTATGCTTTCTACATGGTATAAAAATATATTTTAACCAGATTGTAGAAGCTCTTTTCATGTTGGATGAAACAACTTTAAAAGATGCAGATGTGTACTTAGCTATTACTTGAGGTCTTTATGGGCTGAATTCTGGCTGAGGTTTGGGGTTTAAAAACATTCAAGAAGTGCCGTAACAAATGTGGAGCTTTTCTCCTCCGGATCATATTCTTCTGAGAACAAAATGAATGCTGCTCTGTTGATTGTTCTAAGAACAGATTTATGTTGTTCAGGTTCAGCATACCTACCCCTCCTGCTTTATTTGAATTGAGAAAGCAATCTCTCCATAATGCAGTGGCATGAGAAATGTTTGTGCAATGTTCTTTTTCAAGTCAGGATCCATACTTTCAGGCAAAAAAAAATGCCATCTTCTGTACAACCTCCTGTGCCAGTCTTCTGCACCCTCATAATTCATAATAGGGAAATATTTCCTATTCTTACAGTGTTACAGAGTTGGTACAATTTTTCATCATTACTGCACTCCAATTTGCAATTACCTACTTAAGAGCTAGATACACATTGTTCAGATAAAGTATTTTATGTCTTGCATGTCTGTCCAGTGCAGAGTGTTCTAGGTAACATAAACATGAAATGGAAAAGATTACTCTCAGCTGCAATTTATTTGTAATACACATACAAACACATGGATGCAGTGTTGGAAAACGGAGCAAAACCTGAGTTCCCAGCTATACCATGCTTAAAACATATAATGGAAGGAAACTGTTGACAGAGAACAGTTTATGATATCCATATGTCAATAGCTGCAGAAGAAAAAATACACCATCATGCAGGTTTCATAACTTACATGGCGGGATGCAGGATACCAAGGCACTGGTGCTGTCCAGGGCCAGTTGGACTGAAGCGCGATGGCATCTCGTGGCTCTGTGAATAGCAACGTGCAGAGCTGTGATCACCGGCTCTCTCAGCACCAATGTCAGGCTCTTTGATAGGGAAATGAGTATAATGAGGCCTGACCCCCTGAATGTAAGATTTGCAACTTTTATCTAGGAGAAACAAGTCAAAGTGCTGGATTTCCCCCCCTGCTCAAAAAAAAAAGTGTAGAAGTTATAGTAGGGGCATAAACCTGTAATTAGTGAATTTAACTGGTATCCTAGCATTAAAAACTACTTGACCTTGCACTTCTGATCTGTTAACAATTTAATTTGATAACCCACTGTTTTTCTTTGGCAGTCTTTTAACACACATACTGATGGTATGCGACACAAAATTAAAGATCTTTTATTTCTGCCTTCATTTTATGAGATTTTTTTTACCATCGATGGTGTATTTTGCATGTATACATTTTCATTCCTTTCTCAAAAACATTGTGTTTTTCCAGTCTTTAAGAGAAACAACACTTAAACATATAAGTATCTGAAACTTGCAACTGTTTGTTGTGTCTGATTCCAACTGTCTAATAGCTAATTTCAGTACTGTTTCTGTATGCAGTGTATGACCACATTTTGATCTGATTGTGAGATGTATTTTACTTGTTTCAGACTGTGAAGGAAATTTTAATTTTAACTTGCTATATAATTTATTTATTCACACATATATACACAGTACAGATGGACTACTCTTACTATATAAAGTTAAGGTCTGTGCTTATTTCTGGGATTAAAGCTAAAGGCTGACTCTTCAAATTGTGCTTTAATGCCATCAATGCACTCACAATACATGAATTACACAGCTTTTGTTTAAAGGGACTTTGAACAGTTCACATAAAGTAGTGATTTAGACCCAGCTTTAGAACATGTGCCCAAAATAGTATGCCCACTGGTCTTTCATACTATTTCTGTATGCTTCTTCACATGTGTTCATCTCTTTTTATTGTGTGATTGAATACGGTTACAAACCTGTATGTTTCTTTGCTGAGAATGTGAAGCTTGCCTAAACTTTTGGCTATATATGCGAGTAGGATGAAAACCAGGAGGCTCCTTGGGAACTTAAATTTCCCTATAAATAATGATGAACCTTCACAGGATTGTCTTCCCCCAGAATTTGGAAGTCCATATAGAGATTGTGGAAACATTGTAGGTTGATCCGAAGGTTAATAGCTACTGTCATGAGAATGTGCGTGGCTTCTAGTCCGTTGATGGAAATTTGAGCATTACCAATGGCTGAGTTCCCCCATGTTTGACTGTTCTGGGCCAGGACACCGCCTCATCTCGCTGTTTTTGCAGTCCAACTAAGGGACAAATCTTCATGGAAGTGCTTTAATAAAGCTTCCTTTCAGCTGATTGTCCACTGGGAATATACCTACTTATTCGGTTAGACTGGATGAATGCAGTTGCTGTGTATAGAAGTCTTTTTCTTTTTCTTCCTTCCTCTCTATCATCTTAAGTGGAAGCAACGTTGATTCTCTCGGAAATGAGCTGAGTTGTACATGAAGGAAGGATGTCTGCTTGCCTTGTCTTATACTTTTCTCATGTAACTGCTGGCTAGTGTTGGAGACGGGTTATTGGAGTAGGTCAGACCTTTAGTCTGGCTGGTGTAGGTATTCTTATGCTTTCCAATCAGTTGTGGAAAAGAGGAACGTGTTAAGTCCGTCCTATCGACCACAAACCCCACTGAAGAGCCGAAGTTGATTCTAGTTTATTCGTTCTTTTACTCAGCCCAACTATTGTTTCCTACTCTGGTTTTTGAACATTTGAAATGTTTCATCTTAAAAGTAGTTTTGTTTAGAAAAGTTAAATTGATTATTATTTGATCACAACAGAATTTGCAGTGACTGCATTACTAGATGAGACCAGTTAATGTGTCAGAGCTACAATCTTATGATAATACTGCAGGTAACATACAGGTTGTAACACTGTCAGTATTATAGCAAATATAGCAATAATAGACTCATAGAGTCATTTAGGTTGGAAAAGACTTTTAAGATCATCCAGTCCAACTATTAACCTAACACTACCAAGTCCACCACTAAACCAGTTAAGGGGAGAGTAGCAGTTTCATGTTTCCTGGCTTGGTGGCTGGATTATTTTTAATGAAAGTAAAAACTAGGAGTCATTAAGGTTGGAAAGGTTACAGTTGGTAATACTAGAGAGCTTCTTTATGTTCTGAACAGAAATAAGAGGAAAGAGCAATGTGCCTTTTCCTCCTAGAGAAACTAGAGCTTTGGTATTTCCATAGTCTGTTTTCCTTTCCATGTCAGTACCTCCCAGAAATATTCTCTATTCTTACAGTGTTACAGAGAAACTCCACTCATTACAAGGTTTTGTATTTACTGAAAATGAAGTGTAAGTTAGTACCTTAATGGTTCAACAGACCACATGCATATCACTACTTTGGGCATCTTTGAAAGGCTTTCTGGGTGTGATTTTTTTGTTACTGCCTCTGGTAGGTATGGTCCCTTCAGACCGACCAACG